TTCACCTTGAGGGTGTCAGGAGATGCCACAGCTAGTTCACGAGGATTAGCTGATGTAGGGATGGCTTTGAGTACTAAGGCAGAAAAGACATTGCTTGACTGGATCCCGGTAGATAGCCGAATATGTGCTGTGCGTCTGGACGGTTCAGTAAAAAGGAGAAAGGACTGCACTACTCGCCGATGCCTTTTCGTAATCTCCGCCTACGCCCCACTGACTGCAGTTCAGATGAAACGAAGGATGAGTTCTACCAAAGGCTGTCTAGTTTACTGCGAAAGGCTAAACGCTCAGATATAGTCGTTCTAGCTGGTGACTTTAATGCTCAAGTAGGGAAATTGTGTCAAACTGAGAAGGATGTCGGTGGCACCTATGGAGTTCCGTGCCAGCAAACCGACGACGGTGACCGTCTCCTACAGTTCTGTTCAGATAATCATTGGTTTCTTGTAAGCAATAACTTCAAACACAAGAAGAGACACTGCTTGACCTGGCATCAGCTCCAACGGGTTGATCTCTGACGAAATCTCAGTACGGATACAGGGGGCTTGTTTCGTATTTGCCAGTTTACACCGATTCTGGCGTAGACGAGATATTCGACTATCGACCAAAGGGCGAGTGTACTGCTCATCAGTCCGCTCCGTCCTCCTATATGGCCAGCTGTGAGACATGGCCACTGAGAGTGGAAGACGCGAAAAGATTAGCTGTCTTTGATCATAGGTGCCTGCGTTCTATCTCCCGTGTGAAGCGGCATAATAAGGTGAGCAATATTGAGGTTAGGCATCGGTCGAGTTCTAGGTAAATAGGGGAAATCAATCGACGAGGCGGTTGTGAAGTTACAAAGACTGAGATGGTTACGACATGTGTTACGTATGCCTAGTCATCGCCTTCCTCGACAATGGGCAATGTTAGCTGATATAGGATTAGTCAGGCTGGAAAAAAGCTAGCGGCGGTCAAAGAAAAGCTTAGCACCAGTCAATGAAATCCATAACAGTTAGTCTAAGCCACGTAGGAAGGTGTAGACTTCCTGACTGTTTGGGGTCCTCGGGACGGTAAAAATCAATGGTTGGAAACAATTGGTGACATGGCTCAAAATCGTTCTCAATGGCTGGGCGCAGATGCATCCACTCCGTGTGACTTATGATTTCCAATAAAACTGTTTTGTTCTTCGTTATTACTCTTTATTTGTCTCACACCTCTGTTTACTGTCTCTTTTATGCCTTTCTTGTACTTTCTTCTGTTGGTTTGTGTGCTAAATGCAGGGATTGTGTTGACTTGAACTGGTGCACATTTGTGCAGAGTTCTATGTCGAAACAGATAGACAGACAGCGGATTATTATCTAGTCCAAATACGTAACTACTGGAATCAAGATATATTTGTATTTTGTCACCTTTCAACATTATGTGCGAGGCATCATATGGATCACTGGCTGAAAAGTTTATCAGATATACTGTAGAATCAATACTAGTTGTAGCTACGACTGGTGTCGAGTTATCCATGTACGAAAGATTGTAGGCTTGTAGATTTATGAAATGTTAGGAATAAGTCGTAGTAAGCAGTTTGGACAGTTTCACTAACTTTTTTTAATAATTATTTTCTGATTGTGTGCTCATTTTTTAATTGTACTATCCTTATTTTCTAATTCGCTTCATAATTTTGGTGACTGGCTAACTAACTGAGTTCCAACATAGAACTTATCATAGAAGTGCAGCGGTTCAAGTTATCATACTCCATTTAGCGCACAAGATTAAATAAACGATAGAGGGAAAGCGATTCAAAATAACTATTAAGTAGAAGTATGAGGGAGGAATAATAGTAACATGGAAAAGCATGACCGTTTAGTGGATATTATTCCCGTTATTGTTCCCTAGGGTTCCCAGTGGAACATAGGTCTCCACCAACACATCTCCACTGTGTTCTGTTTGGCGCCATCCTCTTCTGCTGGGTAGACGATTGCCCATAATCTCTCATATCGTCTTAGCAACACGATCTCCTCCATGTCACCCTCGCACCAACGATCCACTCGTCGCTTCCCATTTGGATTCCACTCGAGCGATGGCCTGCATTACGCTTGATGTCACTCGATTGCCTTCTCAGTGGTGTATGCCCGATCCATCTCCATTTCCTCCTACATATTTGTTGAGCAATCGTCTCTCTCCCTTTGTTTTGTTGCCAGCTAGAGTTTCTTGTTGCTAATTCTTTCTGGCCGTTTGATCTTCAGTATGGAGCCAGTCAGCGAAAGTGGCAGTTGTTGTGATAAAAGTCTGCAATGGCTTGTTGGAAATCTGTTTCATGACACGCTAGACAAGTTTCTGATCCGTATAGAGAAGCACTAACTGACTGACTTCACATTTGTGCTGAAAATCCCGAATCTTGTTCTTTATGCTGGCTGAGGTGGAGTGCAGGAGATTTGCAAACTAGTTTCAGACTGGTAAAGGCGTATCTTACCTTTCCGATTCTGTCTGGCTTTGACATCGTAATCCGTTCCTGTGGTTGAAACCGTGCTTCATAGATAAGTTAAGTTAGTGGATAATACAAAGTATTACGAAGAGTGAATGCATCAACCAGATGGCAGTCTACACCTCCCTAGGTGACTTAAAACCAGTTGTCGAAGACTAATGCCAGGCTCTGGTATGAATACTCATAACTCTTTTGCAACTTAATCCTAATAATAATATTTGGTTTATTCCAGAAACAGTACTAATGGTATAGTGTGGAATTTCCAGCACATATCTACAATATTCCATCTAATTTTATCAAACATTTAAAAGGAGTATTTCAGAAAAATAAATATAAAAACAACAACAACAAAAAATTTTAAAAATGCGAAAAAAAATACCGAGAAGTAGAAAGGAAAATAAACAATATAATAAATAATATCTCAGTATTGGATAGTGGAAGCTATGATATGTTTATGCGTGGTGAACAGTAACAGCTATAATCATACAAGAAGTTATGAAATGATATTTAAGAATGCTTATCGCCAAGATGATCAGTTAATTTGATTGAACAACACTAAACAATCATAAAATAAACATTTCAGGTTTTTTTATTGTCGGCTCTAATGCGGTGTTTGTAGTGGTTGTGTGAGTAATCCTGCATAATACAAAATTTTTACGATGGTGATAGTGGCGTTCACAAACAAGATTGTCAGTTAAATAGTACCAAACAAAAAACAACCACAAAACTAATATTACATGATGGTTAATGACAGGACAATTTTGTAATACTCATAGTGCTAATATAGTCGGAACCAGTAGATATACTAAAGAAGGAATAGAGTAAAGTACAAAAAAAGTAAGCCAATGTTAATAACTTAGGAAGCTAAGTATGTTAAAGAAGGTGTTCACTATAGAATACAAATAAGAGAGAAATAAAAGAGCCAAAATTATGTTATTAACAACAAAGCAAGTCATAAGTTTCGCCCTTAACATTGTCTCTGTCACTTAGAACACGGGCTGGCCAAATATGGTATCGTTGAGTTCCTATACTTGGTTGTACGAGCATATATTATTTTATACTGATTTCTGGTTCTACCTGATGAGATACAAGGAGAGAGTTGGGAATAGAGAGGGTGTTGGGGGTCAGAGAGTATGGTTTTAGACCATTTCTCGCATGTATTCAGATGTCTTTCTGCTAATGTAGTGATGAGCTGATTGAGTTTTACACCATTAGTTATACTAACTACCTTCAACGCCCCTCTCAGGATGGTATAGTCCTTTTTGTCTGTCAAGGAATGCTATGACTGGACACGCATAACATGTATATCCTAGTTATCTCAATCGATGTAGCTTCACAACCCGATTGATTGACTTACCCTTCTTACTTAAAATTCGACGTCTACTCACCATACTGTACCACTTGATACAGGAGACAGAACTCAAATATCTGTGATCAGAGGTGTATCTAGCCTCTTCCAGTCTCCTGACTTCATTGGCCATGTCTCACAGTCATAAAGAAGGGTACACAGCGAGCTACTATGTAATACACACGTCCTTTGATGAATAGGCGGATATCACACCTACGCTGGAGATGATGTAAGTTGACCAACACCATACGAGCCTTTTATATCTGTGCAGTTTGTCCATTAGGGTTGAGGCAACTTCCCACATATATAAATGAAGTGGTCAACACGCTCAAAACTAAGAGTCGGTGCAATGTAGTACAGTCCTGATTTTGTGAATTGTGATCGGTGAAATTAACGCTATTTTGTCGAATGGTTGTTATGGTAATTATATACTGTATATATGTGTGTATATCTGTCTGTTTTCGATATAGAACTTTGCACAAATGTGCACCAGTTCAAGTCAACACACTCCTTGTAGCACGCGAAGCAAGAGAAGAAAGTACATGAAAAGCATAACAGAAACAGTGAGCAGAGGTGTGAGACAAATAAAGAGTAATAACGAAGAACAAAACAGTTTCATTGGAGATCATAAGTCACAAGGAGTGGATGCATCTGCGCCACTGAGAACGATTTTGAGCCATGTCACCAATTGTTTCCAACCATAGATTTTTACCGTCCCGAGGACCCCAGCCTGGAAGTCTACACATTCCCACGTGGCTTAGACCAACTGTTGTGGATTTCATCGACTGGTGCCAAGTTTTTGTTTGACCGCCGCTAGCTTTTTTCCAGCCTGACTAATCCTATATCAGCTAGCATTGCCCATTGTCGAGGGAGGCGATGACTAGGCATACGTAACACATGTCGTAACCATCTCAGTCTTTGTAACTTCACAACCGCCTCGTCGATTGATTTCCCCTATTTACCTAGAACTCGACCGATGCCAAACCTCAATATTGCTCACCTTATTATGTCGCTTCACCCGGGAGATAGAACGCAGGCACCTATGATCAAAGACAGCTAGCTGGGCTTTCAATATGTCTTCCACTCTCAATGGCCAGGTGTCGCTCACAGCCATAAGGGGGGGGGACGGAGCGAATTGACTGCTGAGCAGTACATATGTGTGTATATGATACCGTTTCTTTTTTTGTCTTGTTTTTGTAGAAAATGTAAACTCGAAACATCAATTTATTGCTAATGAATCTTCTGGTAGTATAGCTGGGAGGGATGGAAACAATCTGTCGACGACAGCTTCTCCTTCTTCTCCGTCTTTTTCTCATTTTGCATCAGTATCTGAAGTCTTTGAATTTAAACAACCATCGAATAAATTTAGAAAAAGGAAAAGGATTGAACCACGAGAGGAAGATGGCGAGGAGGAGGAGGATGAGGAAGAGACAGGCGAAATAATAGATGAAGAAGACTGTGTAATGCAGCAGAAAACCAATCGCCATCATCACCATCATCATCAAAGTCATCATCATGACCGTCGTCGTCATCATTCTATAAATAAAACTGCAACTGCTAGACAAAGTGAAAGAACACTGTACAAGTCAATTTTAAATGGTAATATGAATAACAACAATGGTGATGGTGATAATAATAGTCGTCGTAAAAATAATAATAATAATAATGTTAACAAAGATTATAATAATAAAGCCAAAAATGGTGTTGTCTCACAAAAACACAGGAAGAGCCAAACCAATGATCATAGTGATATTGATGAACGCTATCGATTGTATACAGCTTCAGGTGAGTATTGATTATTTTTCATTAAGTTTATTATTATTATTAATATTGTTGTTTGAACTCAAGTTCCCGGATGATGTGAGAGTTGTCTCTTAAGAGGCTGAAATAGGGTTGTGGGGATCAATTATTTAATTGGTGAATGGTGACTAGCAGTGGAATCCAGGACAAGGTGCGTTTCGTCCTATCTGGGACTCGTCAGCCAGTGGATGTACCTGCATTTCTCAGTGTGTGATGATGATGATGTTCCCACCACCGAGGTTCGAACCCAGTGTCCATAGTTTCAAACGCCAAAGCTTTATCCACTAGACCACATACGCCACGACAGCTAGCCACCTCTTGTACAAACGGGTCATATTATATCATATTATCACCAATCAAAAATACTAATTAAATGCCAGACATCGTCGAAGCATCTGCACAAGAAGTAGCCGATATGTCAACCTGAGACTCTGAGCACTTCGGTCCAATCAATCGACGGGAAAATCTAAAATTCAATTAAATTAATGTGACCCGTTGTTGCACAAGAGGTGGCTAGCTGTCGTGGCTCAAGCGGTCTAATGGATAACACCTTGGCGTTTGAAACTGTGAGCACTGGGTTCGAGCCTCGATGGTGGGAACATCATCACTCGGTGACTGGGGAATGCAGGTACATCCACTGGCTGACGAGTCCCAAATAGAACGAAATGTGCCTTGTCCTGGATTCCACTGCTAGTCACCATCCACAAATCAACTTCTAATTACATGCTCAGACATCGTCGAAACATCTGCACAAGAAGTAGCCGACATGTCAACCTGAGACCGAGCACTTCAGTCCAATCACAATCGACGGGAAAATCTAAAATGCAATTTGTAGGGAATCAATTGATTGAAAGTCGAGTGCTTAAATCAGCGAGTGAGCTACATATCCACTTTATTGTGGTTTCAGTTTTTGGACTAACTGCTTCCTGCAGTACTTTTTAATCTTCATACATTTATTCCCCTTTAGTGAATTTGAATAAAGCAAGAACAACAGTGGTTTTTACAGAATAAAATGGTATCATCATTTATTATTTCGTTGGCTTCTCATCTGCTAGCTTCACACAGCCGAAAGACATTATTAAGTGCATCTACAGAAACAATTTTAATACACTTGTACATAGAGTTCATTTTTGAACAAAAACCAATCAATCAGTATATGCATACAGTAATAATATATAATAATAATAAACACTTTATCCCGAACAATAATGACCATACACAATGGAAAATTTCGGCGTTACATAATCAGATGAAAGGAGGATGAAAATATCCAGTTACCCAGGACAAAGAAAGACTGATAACCGCCTCTTTTTGAACACATAAATTAGGTTTCAGGTGCTTAGTGGAGATTGCTTCGACAAACTTGAAAATTTTAACTCTTTTGCTTATCAATAATTTTGAATGATCTTGAGAAATCCACCTCATCATGGCCCGGGTCAAGGAGATGTCTGGCGATGGTTACTGTTTAAAACAATTGTTCCCTTAGATTATAGGCTTTTTGGTACATGTTCAGAAAATCAGAGGTACGACCTCTTCTACTTTCTCTTCTCACAATTTTGTAACTGCTCCCACAGATACATGTAAATTTGTATATACAGTTGGAGTTGTTAACATGAGAAGGGTATCTGTCGACTTTTGATTGTACTTAAAGAGCATGTTGTTCAGTATGCGGGAACCAACCTGGCTGTAGGATGATAGACTCTGGCTGTAATTGACGTCTTCAATCTTCTGTTGACAATTGCTGTTTTTTATTTTCACCTTTAAAAAATCAAGTTGACTGAAGATGAACTTTTTCCCCACTGTGATTTATTCGACATTTGAGCCTTCAAATCTTTCATACTTTGTTAATGAGAACCTTTGAGGGGTGTGGGGTAACCGTTGTTCCTCAATATCTTTTCGAGAATCATAATTTCCTCTTCTAGTTTCTCTATAAAGCATATTCTCCTAGCTGTATAGTAGTGTATGGTCTTGGCTAGTGCTCGTTTAAAGTTATTTAAACAAAAACTATTAAAATGTAGGTATTTTCCTTTCCATGTAGGCTTTCTCTCTTTTTACCTGTGTGTTATTTATCGGGTTGTCGATAGGTAAGAATTAGTCTCATGCTTCATTTTACACAGGAGTTTATGTTCCATGGGTTTTGCATTATTCATTTCAAATATTTATTATGATGAAGTGTATCAGTGGAAAGAAGTTCTCCGCATGTTTAAGCGTAATTTTGAGTCAGTAACTACTTTCTGTCAACCTCTGGGGTAGGTGGTTATTGTTTGAGATACATTCGAGTGCCATTTATCGAGGGCTAGACAATCAGGTGGTAGCATCGCGTCAGCCCTCAAAGCGAAAACAGATTTTAGCTTTCTGTGTACTATTAACCGAAAGGTGGGTGGTTTTGCTTCAGTAATCAATCTCTTTCGCCACCTACCTATATTACTTATAATTTTAACCCTCTCACTGTATTGTGTTAATGCATACAGTGCAATGTAGTGCTGAGCTTTTTTCTAAATTACTTATCTTCGTGGGATCAATCATTCTAACATTAGCCAAATTCTTATGTTTCTGACAATCTGACTACCCCCGACCTACTAGTTTGACCTATGTAGTTGACTTAACTCACAGTCATGCAAGGTATTTTGTAAATTATATTGTATATATCATATCATTATATTATTATTATATTATACATATTATATTATCATTATATTACATTATATTTTGTCTAATTAGGTCAACCCACAGGGTCCCTTAACCTACAGAGCTTATCCTACCTGAGTGAGTTTGTAGGGTTGAATGCCATCCTAATTCCTTTACCCATGTATATAAATGAAGCAAGGAAGTTGTGTGAGTGAGTGGCTTGATATGATTATGAGCAGCAACCAAATTGTGCTCTAAACGTGATCATCAGTAAGTGTTACTCACCGTATAACAAACACTGTGTGACTTTATCAAAATAAAATTATATCCATAATGAAATTATACTTTACCACAGTGCACAAGTTCAATTCTTATATCAAAAATGGGAGTGGTTTAACATAAAATGTCTGTCTTTCTGTCTGATTCAACATAGAACTTGTCACCGAAATGCAGCAGTTCGAGTTCCCACGTTCCAAATAGCACACAAAGGTAGACAAGAAGATGAGTGAAGAGAATCAATAGAGTTTGACAAGTATAAGAGTGAAACAGAATGGGTAATGGTAGAAAGGAATATGAAAGATTACAGAGACTGAATACATCTGCGCTAGGCATTGACAACGATTTTGAGCCATGTCACCTATTGTCTCCAGCCATTGATTCCTAGAGTCCCGAAGGCCGCAACCCGGATTAATCCAGTAAATAATACTGTTTCACTGTATGATATATCTAATAAACAAACTAATATGGATTTCATGGATTGATGCCATGTTTTTGTTTGGCCACTACTTACTCTTTTCCAACCTGCACCTATATCAGCTAGTAATGCCCGTCGGGGGAGGCAATCGTTAGGCATGCCGAACACGTGACCTAGCCTAGGTTTAACATAAAATGTTCATTATTCTTTCAGAAGACTAAAGGATTTACCCAAGAAATATTTACTTTTCAATTAGATCGCCATCTATGGCTGTAGTCTAATGTTTACGAACCTAGGGAAATTGAGTTTGTTAGCAATAATTAATTAAAGCAACATGTCAGGAGGCTGGTGGTGAGAATTCACCAATGGAAATTAATGCAACAATCAAAAGGGTAGAAATAATTGTAAAGATTAAACTAATGGATTACAGAATGCATAATTTTGGAAAAATATAAAGGATTGCGCCGGTGGCACAGCGGTAGGATGCTTGCCAACTACGCCACACGCGTGGTCTGGGGTTCGATCACTAGCCAGTGCACTCCTAAACCTCTCCTAGGCCGGTAGAGTAAGGCCAGTGGAGAGGAGTGGTTAGGCGTGAGGCTAGCAGCCTCATCATGTAGAAATAAAATCTCTCCGTCACCGAAACTCCTGAAGCGGAGGCTTAAAGGCCTATGTTCCATTCGGAGCCTTAAGGAATAATTAAGAAATAAATGAGTCCAAGTCAACTACGTAATAAATAATTAAAGGTAAATTACTTTATTCAGTTCGAGCTTCCCCGTTAATTGGTTGGGTCGAAGTGTTTGACCTCTGTTGACGTGTCGGCTCCTTGTACGGATGCTTCTACGATGTCTGAAGATTTCACTTGAATTAATTTCATTGGTGATGACAAGTAGTAGTGGAGTCGAAGATTACGCATGTCATCCTAGTTGGGACTTGTCAGATGAATGTACCTGCATTCCCCCACTGAGTGCTGCTAGGTTGGAACCTCAGTGGAAACACAGGTTTAGATAGCCTGGTCAGTATCCAAACCCTCTCATGAACTATGTGATTTTGTGTAGCGCATTTTTTGGCGTCCATAATGTTACTAAGTTTGTGTTTTTTAATTTATTAAGTAGTATTAAAGGAAAGGGAAACGTATAATGGGTATTACTCCACTTTACGTGTACACTGACGTTGTCGGTAGTATCCAGAGCGCGATAGCTGTTATCATCTGTTGTGGTGACTGGGCTTGCATATTACAATGATAGCGATTAGATCAAAAGCATGTAAAGTGTTTACACGATTTTGGGGGTACTGCAAGGGAACAGAGACGTGACAGCAGTAAGGTGTGTGTGTTTCCCTCAAAGGAGAAGCATGCCAACTACATGCTGCCTCACCGCTTGCCATCTTATCCGACTTACCATGTGGGGTGTCCTGTAGCGGGTAGTAAGTTACTGATATGGAAACAGCTCTAAAATCCAGTCCGAACATGCTCTGTGTGTGTGTGTGTAACCGGTCTCAAGCAAATTGTCCCCTGGACTCTGCGGTCACGCAACACCGCACTTCAGGAAAAAAGGCAACTTCCACAATGTGGGCAGCTGCCGAAAGCACACAAAGCTGTCGCTGCATATTACTAGGTCGAACATTAGAAGTTTAACTCTTCATAGTATTGACGTTTATCCATTGGTATTTTTTTCCACGGATTTTCATCTTAGTAGATTTCAGCTGTTCGAATTCTACTTAGCATTACTGTAACTGTTATGGAGTTATCATCATATTTTGGAAAAACAAATGATTAGTATTATTAGAAGACGAAAGTTGGTAGTCTGGCTCCTGTATCAGATGGTTTTCCACAATTCATCTGTTTTTCTAACCATTTTGGGATATGCTCTTCCACCCTCATATACAAAGCGCGATTACTCCCCTCTATGTATGTGTGTCCATACACACACATTCCCGAAGGCACTTTACACATCTCTTCGATCTTTTAAACTCCAACCAAATATTTCAAATCTTATTCGCCTTGTCTGTCTGTCTGGATTCAACATACAAAATCTCACACTGACCATTCTAATGAGAAGTTATGTGGATTGATTGAACTCCATTTATCATCATCAAATATATTGTCTGATGTCTCCATAATTTGCCAAATCAAGTTCATTAATTTTTGTAGCTCTGCCGCTAATAAGACGAAAGAGAATACTAGATTGAAACTGCTTGGATCCGGTACCTCTGACTTTCAATTAAACCAATTCCCATTAAATCCTGATTAGTATGTGACAAATCTGTCATCGGTTGAACTTTTGTTACATGAAAAGGTGTTATCACTTGGTTTCAATTTTTCTATCCCATTAAACAATATTTCAGACTTAGCAATTGATTCTCAGCTTGAAAATTTGTGTGACCAGTTGAGTTCTCTAACTCCTTGCCCGACAGATGATCAAAGTTGGTTGAAAGTTGAATTTGTAGATGTAGCCCACACCAATTCCGTAATACAAGTCGGAAACAAAGAAGCATTTTAACATCAACTCGTTTTAAAGCCCTAAAGGAATTAAGTAATAGATCCGATTTAGTTGTTTTGAAACCTGACAAAGCATATGGTGTCGTTGTAATGGACAGAAGCGATTACAAAATAAAAATGTTATGCATCATTAATAAACTTAAGCCCCCCCATTGTGTATTCAAAAACAGTTTGTTATTACTCTTAACCTACCTTGGCAATCCTTATTTGATTTGATTACCAAACGTTTGTGGTAATTATTCTTAATTCCTTTTTCTTTCACTTTGTTTAATTTAACCTTTCTGTATATATTGACTTGACAAGTAAATGTGTGATCAGATTGTTCGAAATGTATAGCGCTAATACATCACATCGTTTTTCAGATAATCTCCGTCTTCTAACAAACTTTATAAAAGAGACTAATTGTTTTAAATGATTAGTAGTCTGCTTCATCATATACGCATACTTCATATACGCCTGCCCTTTTTTTTAAATCTTACTTTCTAGGTAAAATAGTCGACGTGAGACAGTTATGTCGTACAAGATCTGGTCGTTTAGCCTTACCAAAACTGGATAAACGTTATGAACAGAGTATTGTTATGAGTGACGGACATGTATTGGGTGTTAATCATAATGTAGATGATGCGGTATGTTTGTTTTAAAATTCTATATCAAATTTTGTAACCTTTTCTATTTGCATCTATTGAAAATTATAGTTGGTGGTTTTCATTAGAAATTCCCTTCACGCCTCTTCTTGTCTCTCTTGAGGCTGAGTTAGTAGTAGTTCAAACGTATATATATATATATATATATAGTGAGTATTTATTATTATGTATTTTATCCCTTTACGTTCCCAGTGGAACATAGGGTTTCAGTCTAGAGTTTTGAAGCTTCGATTGCAGCGGTATTTACTTTTACGGGATGGGGTTGCTAGCCTTATGCCCAGTCATCCGTCTTTACCAGTCCTATTGTGTTAGCTTAGCTAGGTAAAGTAATCCGTCGGTCGGCAATTGAACCCCAGATCACATGTGGCATAGTTGGCGAGCATTCTACCACCGTGCCACTTACGCACATTGTGCGCGCGCATAACAGTAGCACTTAAAACCTGTTTAATTTTTTTTTTCAACCCTGCTATAATATTGTATGTTATTGTTCTCTCTACACTGATGTTTTGTGCAGTCTGAGCTTTTGATTGATCCATATTTCTAGTGTTGGGAGTGAGGACAAAATACTCGCCGATGATACATATTAGTTGGTGGTTGCGCTAAATATGTCACTCATTGGTAGAATTTAGAATTCATGAGTTAGCCATTCAGTCGGGTCCCAGTGGTGTTGAATGGTCTATGAGCTCGTCTTGTAAACCGGAGGTTCTGGAGTTGGAACCTGGCAGTGGATGCGTTCTGCCGATGAGTCCCAAACTAGTGGGACGAAACAACTGTCCATTACTTCCATGCTGGTTTTGAAGGGTTCTCTAACTGATATCAATGCCTGGTTAAAACTTGATATATGATAAATTGTTCATATCAGTTGGTAACAAGACATAAGTGTTTTTACATATCAAGCAAATTTTTTTTCCTTCACGTCCCAGTGGAACATAGGGCCTCAAGCTAGTGGCTTGAAGTCTCTGTAGCAGTGTTTAATTTCACAGGATAGGGTTGCTAGCCTTATACCCAAACTTACCTCTTTACCAGGATTATTTCTGGCTTAGCGAGGTAAAGGAGTGAGTCGGTGGCCGAGGATTGAACCCCGGACCATGTGCATGGTCGGCGAGAGTCCTAATCGCTGTGCCACCGATCGCTCAGAAATGGTTATCACTAAAAGATTTTACAATTCCAAGAGCTTGGAAACAAGAACATTATTCAAGAGAGTGAAGACAAAAACTAAGTGAATATCGATTGCGCGAGTTATAGAAGGTTTAAGGTCAGAATATAGTAAGGGATTGGATAAACCTCTTCTGTATACACATATCAGAGTTTTCCTTGTGTGAAGCAAGAGCTTCCACTGTGAACAGCCGCAACCCCGTTGAACAACTTGGCCTTACCTTATATGTCACTTTGAAAGACTTCCCGGTTGATGCCGAATGATTTTTAAAAACGAGGTACTCAAAAATTGAACTATTAGTTCGTCCAGTTTCTCCTTTCAACAACCATACTGAGAGATGTTCTTGTGCGCATCTAGAAATTATCCTGTTGGTACGGCGTATGTACTTAGTTCCACAGGAGAGCAAGTGATGAACTGATGTGTGCACATGGATGTTGCCAATAGTGGAACATTATCTTTAACGTTTTGATGAATTAGAGGTTGTGTTGTACAGTGAAGGTGTGATAGATGCTAGGATTCGGCGAAGAATGTTATTTTCTGGAATCGTTCTTTTTAATCTGCATCGAAGAACTCCAGCCCCGCCCCAGCTGTTGTGTTACTTTTGAATTTCAAGTCTACCACTGACTTTTTCTCTGGCCTTCTGCTTTGTGTGTGTGTGTGGCTGCGTTATCTGCCTTATGCTTCAGATGTTTGCCGATGAATGCTGGTGGCTAATCATTCTGAATTAGAGTATTGCATAAAGACTGCTTTCTTCTCTGTTTAGTGTGTCTTCCGTGTGTATGCTACTGACTCTTGTGAGAGGCGAGGGAGTTGATAAGGTTTACTTCTTTACCTAATGAGATGCAACTGTAGAATCTAGTTAAGCTGCTCGTTCCATTTTGGTTTGTGATGAACTGATGGGTGAACAAATCAATCATTTCTCCTCGAAAGCTGAACGCCTAAGTGAGGGGGGGAGCGTTCCTTTTCACTAAACTTCTAGAAAATAAAACTAATTGATCGCGATAAGTGTTATTAAATGATTCAAGAATTTTATTTAGATCAGTATTTCCATTGGCAATGATGAAAATATCATCCATATAGACATTGAATTGATGAATATACTGGTTGTAGAGTACTCGATTTTAGGTGTACTGCCTGCGTTAACTGAGATACTAGGCAGCGTCTGGGAATCAGAGGAAGTCCCGTGGGGTTGGTTTAAGTCATTGATTATCCCGATATACAAGAAGGGATACACGTCTCCCTGTGATAATCATAGTAGGATCAGCTTGACCTATATGATATCGAAAGTTCTAGGCTCAGTAATCATGCGTAGACTAAGCGGTGCTCGGGAGGAACAAACACAAGAGAATCAGGCAGGCCTTAGACAAGGAAGAGGGTGTATTGATCATATGTTCACTCATTGACAGATTCTGGAACATAGGAATACTTACCGATGGCCAACAGTCGTCATATTTGTTATGTACTCGTCGCTAAATTATTGTTATGGACTGGTCGAGAATTTAATAGTCCTGACGCAAGAAGGTGGAAATCAGAAGACCACTAGGTTTGCGATGATACTTCTATTGTCCAAACACAAGGAGACGAAAATAAATGGTCTCACACCAAAGTGGTAAGTAAGTAAAGTAGTTCACACAAATTGTGTGAACGAAATATATATATTATATATATATATAGCAAAATATATAGCAGACATGTCAACAACATCCATATATGGATATATGTCACTAAGCAACGGACTGTCAACAAACACTCATATTATATATAATATAAATGGAATATACATTGTTAAAGGAGACAAGTTCATACAAGTGAAATGGCCACAGACTAAGCGAGCAAATAGAAAGAGAGACCAACATACACACACATAAATATATATATATGTGGATACATATCAATATTTCTCGACCTGAAAGCGGCATTCGATTCTGTCGGTCGAGAGGTACTCTGGCGATGCTTGGCTGTAAAGGGAATGCGGAGAAAATACATTTCAGTGATCAAAGCACTCTAAAATGGGAGTAGGTGCAGTCAGTCCCTTTAGCAACAATGAAATTTTGATAGGGGGGGGGGAATTACAAGCCAGACGTACTTGGACTTTTGTACTGAAAACATGGCATTTTGTCAGCATCTTCACCTAGGAAGAAAGACTATATCATCAGCGTATTCTCAGTGAACGAGATTACACCCTGATGGTGACAAGTCGATCCCGGAGTCGTTAAAGTCGGTTAGGATTAAGTCCATTAGACATCTATGATGAAATTAAAATAGAAATGCGGATAGTGGGCATTCCCAACAGACACCACTGACTGTCACCATTTCAGATGACAACTCGCCGTAAGCTTCAACCTGGCTGACTGCATGAGTTCGAATAAAGATATGTAGTGGAATGGTTGAATTTGTTGACAACTTCATTTTGGGAATTTCATCATGTCTAATGGACTGGTTACCGATGAAATTTCCTCATGCATATGCGAGAGATTTGTATGTCATTTGCTACGTTGCGTTGTCATCTTGATGCTAGTGTGATACCAAGCTATCAGGCAGCGAGTATGTGTACAGCACCATACTTCTTTCTGTTCTACTTTACAACTGTGAGACACGACCACCGAAACTGGAATATGTAGAAAGACTGAGAGTTTTTAACCATAGCTCGTGTTTTCGGTGGAGTTGGCGTATTAGGGATTGGTAGGGTTAAGTGTCGCTAGTGTTAGATAAGGAGGCGAAGCTAATTAATAAGTTTCTGAATTTCCTTTGATTGAGTTAGCTAGAGCATGTGTTACGGATACCAAGTCATTGTGTCCCTCCATAGGTGATGTTATCTGAGTATGGATGATGCGGTCGAAATTCGACATCGGTTAATGATCTGACTGGGGCTGCTACTGAATCGCATGAACTCTAACACTTCACCCAGGTTGGCAGTCGTTATGCACCAACGTAACTACTCCTCCCCCCCCCCCCCGAATCTTTTAACTTTGATCTACACGGCAGGAGTTGTGTTACTATGATGATAACCAAGATGGGTTCATAAGTTATTTATTCCTTTCGGATTTCGGAGCCCGTACTCACCACAGTTTTCGAATCTGGGTTATCCAACTGTCCTAGATAAAACTCTCCATGTTCACCAACTTGTTGATGAGTTTCAGATACTTGCATTTGAGCTTTTACTTTAGTAAGAACAACCTCCTGTCAAATGATGAAACCAGTGAATATGACCCGCTCTCAGGAGTTTTAGCACATTTTTTTGGAGTGTAGATTGATGATCAGGAGGGCTTTGTGTGGTTTTGGAAGTGTGTGGGTGGTTGTTACTTCCCGTCTGCTTACACCGTGGAAGTTGATTTATTCTTGGGGAACCTGAAACAGAATTACTGTCGCGTGACCCAAGAACCCAAGGGACAACTGCTTGAGGCCGGGTCACATAGCCTGTTTGAACTGGATTATAGAGTTGTTTCCATATTAGAAAATTTACCACTGGTTACGGACCACCGTAGGGTAAGTCGGAATGTACAATTTTCGGGGTTGACGTTTTCTAACCCCCCTCCCTCCAGAGTGGAGAGACAGCATAGGTGGCTGACTGGCATGCTGGTCATCTGAGGGAAACACCTCACTGCTGCTGCATTCCTGTTCCCCAGAAGTTTGACTTTACACACAGACCTGCAGCTTAGCACTATGCTGGTAGCTGTTTTAAGTTTAATCACCATCCTAACATCCTTCCTGGCATGGTAGGATCTACAGGAATAATAGTTCCAGCCAGTGTAGCTTGTTGGGTCATTACGGTAATGCAAAGCCAACCACCATGTCAAGGAGGTAGCAGCTATCGATCGGCGTTTTTTTTGGAGGACGGGGTTAGTATAACTTAAGGTAAGTATGCATTTTAACTTCCTTGTTACAGTTTAATTGAATTTTAGTTTTTCCCGTTGATTGACTGGACAGAAGTGCTCAGTCTCAGGTTGACATGTTGGCTGCTTCGACGATGTCTGGGCATTTAATTAGTATTTAATTGGTGAATCCAGGATGCGCATTTCGTCCTATTTGGGACTCGTCAGCCAGTGGATGTACCTGCATTTCTCAGTGAGTGATGATGGTCTAGTGGATAACGCTTTGGCGTTCGAACTATGGGCGCTGGTTTCGAACCACGGTGGTGGGAACATCATCATCACTCACTGAGAAATGCAGGTACACCCACTGGCTGACGAGTCCCAAATAGTTTTTATTTTTTTTTATTTATTTATTTTTTATTTTTTGATTACTGCTTGATTCCACACTGTATTTTTGGTACAAGTGTGGAATTTTCAGCGTGGATATCGGTAGCCCAAAATTCGCAGGCCGACCATAGATATCAGGTGTGCGTCGGCGTGGGATCGAACCCCGGACCATGTGCATGGTCGGCGAGAGTCCTAACCACTGTGCCACCGACGCCTTGTCCTGGATTCCACTGCTAGGCACCATCCACCAAAAATAAATCCTTGGTACAATGATTATTGCAGGCTGAAATCTCAATATTTTTTTCTGCATTTTGGTGTCTTTATTCTCATTGTAAGTAAATTGATGCTGTTGGGGGGTATGTGTTTCGATAGTCACAGGGAATGTGATTCTCTTAATGATTTCTCATTCTTGATGTCACTGATTTTTTTTCTAAAATTGATTTTTATTTTAATTTTAGACTATATTATCATGGTTATCATCATCATCCAACAGTTCATAATAGAACGGTACTTTATTACCACTACTACTTCATACAGACATTGTCATTCGAGCCTGTTGATTTCATCTTATATATTTACACATACTCGAGAAGATATTTAATATTACTATTTATTTTTGTACTTGTACATACTATGACATATATTTGTAATTATCATAAAGTTTTGTTTTAATGAATGAATTATATATCATTATTATTATATCCTTTCATTCCTAGAGGAACATAGGGCTTCAGCCAAACGTCTCCATTGCGTTTGGTTTTCTGCCAACTTTCTCACTCCGCTCCATGTCTGCTCACACGCTTTCATCTCCTCTTCACATGACCTCCTCCAAGTCACCCTTGCACTGACGACCAACTCGCCGCTTCCCTTTCGGGTTCCACTCGAGCAATGGTCTGGCTTGTGATGTCACCCACTTGATGGTTTGTTTCCTCAGAGTATGGCCTCCAATCCACCTCCATTTCTTCCTGCCTGGTTGGTTCGCTCATTGCCAGAGATCCCTGTTTCTGATATTTTTTGGTCGGCCATCTGATATTGAGCGAAGACAACTGTTAATGAAGGTCTGTAGTTTGTTTGAGATGCTCTTTATGACGCGCTGGCCAAGTCTCTCATCCGTATAATGAGTAGCACTGACTGAATTTGCATTAGTGTTGAAAATTCGGATCTTATTTTTGATGGTGAGTGCTGCTGACCTCCACGCAGACCTAAGAGTAATGAAACCTTGTCTTGCTCTTCCGATCCTCGCTGGTTTGATATCCTCGTCAGTTCCCTCTGCCTGTAGTTGAAACGATGCTTCCCAGGTGGGCAGGTGGGTGACGGAGGTTGTTTCTTTCGGGTTCCTCCAATTTATGCTGATTGTTGTCTGCTGTTATTGGTGTTTCTGTTGGCCAGGAATCTTCATCACCTCTGTTTTCTCTATGTTCACCTGAAGTCCCTCCTATTTCCCTGGACGCTTCTTCTTCCAACTTGTTTCTTTTCACTTGAATATCTTCCAGTTTGTGGGAAATCGGACATATATCATTGGCGTAATCCAGATCCCCCAAGTTTTTTGTGAGAAGGGTCCATTTTATGTCTGTTTCGTCATTGCCCGTTGTCTGTCGCATCATCCAATCTACTGCAATCCGGAAGATCATTGGTGATAGTGAGTTCCCTTCCTGTGTTGTCTGGTCCCAGTTTGGCGTTCATGTCTCCCATTAGTATTTTAATGTCACCAGCTTGAGTATTGTCCATTGTTGCCTGTAGTTGTCTATAGAATTTTTCTTTATTTTCGAGGTCTGCGTTGTTTGTGGGTGCATAACATTGTATAATTGACACTTTCCTTGCTTTGGAGTTGAATCTGGCGGTCATTATCCTGGACGAGATCGCGTCCCATTGCATCAGGGCCTTTGATGCCGTTGGTGACATCATGATAGCCACACCCTCGGTGTGCGTGTGGTTATCTTCTGTGTGACCGGAGTAGATCACTGACTCACCCGTTGACAATTTGGTGAGTCCACTCCCATTCCATCTGCTCTCACATATTCCCAGTACTTGGATTCCGTATCTTTTCATCTCGTTTGCGATCTGAGCAGCTTTCCCATCTCGTACATAGTTCGGACGTTCCATGTCCCCACATAGACTTTTTCTTTTGCCGCAAAGAGATTCATCTTGCTGAAGTTTCTGTAGCAACTTTGTTTACAGGGTGGGGTTGCTAGCCTCACGCCTGAGAAAGGAATTGTTACATTAAGATAAAGTTTAGAGAGAAGCGACCTTGTGGATTGCTCCTCTTAGAATCGGAAAACAAGGGATGAAACAATCAGAACAACACCAGCAAAAGGAAAATAATTCACAGCAAAAAGGGCAAAAAGCGACAACAACGATGCAATACAGTTAAGCACAGTTAACTAAAATGATACCAAAACCTTGGACTCATTGACTTGGGCCAACTTGAACATATAAATCCAATGATATATACAATTATACATATGAGTTATTGTTAAAAGACACAAATGTCCAAAAACTTTGTTATAGGTATTAGTAGTCAATTATATTATATCCACAAGTTTAGCGTTCGAAAGTAAACGGATTGCAATAAATTGCAGAACTTCGTGGTGAGATACAACAAAGAAATGAGAGTTTTACGTATCTAAGCAAAATATCGAATTATATATATAATAGATTTAATATATGCGCACACACACACCTCATAGTTAAAGCTTAAATAGGCTCTTTTTGACTCAATTAGTGGGGAAAGCGGATCTTTGGATCTACTTAACGCATAGGAAAAAGTTGGAAGACGTTGGGTTCTGATTGACTTAACCATTCGAATTTAAGCCACGCGTTGTGTTCCAGATTCGAATCCTGCCCACGGCCACCACTAGCACCTACTTCAGTTTGGCTAGTTTTATTCACTGTCGTCAAACAGTGATTGCGTCACTGAAGTCACTTATTTCATGGAAAGTAGTTAGTTACCTTTTTCGTTGTATAAAGGCAGCTAGCTGATTGTGTTGAACACCAATTTCTATTTGTGTTCCACTAGTTGGAAGTGGAGGTGTGTTATGTGGGAGGGATGTCAGTGTGTGTGTGTTGCTTATAATTCAAGGATTTCTAAGCATTCGTTAGCTTCAATTGATTGATTTCAATATTGGTCACGGATTTACTTCATTTAGGGAAAAAGCACATACTACTGAACGGCTGTTTCATCCCTGTTTCGGACTCTTCAAGAATACGCCCTCATGGTCCTGCTGTGCAAGGGGGCGAACCTGGGGTGACAAGACGAACTAGTTATTCAGTTCAACCAGTATTTTAAATAACATCAATTAAGCTTTTTGCAGATGATAGAAAACGTCTCCTCAGTACTGCGTTTTTTTTATCCTGTTCGGACCAGATGATCTCATATCTAACCGTTAAATGGTTAAATGGTCTCAGTCAGACTGCTTCAAATTAAATAGCTTCCTGTCGGACATCAGTCAGTGGTCTAAAATAAATGGCCTAACGCTGAATCCCTCAAAATGCCAGACTGTCGACTTCTCCTTTAGGCATAAACGAGATCTACAAACACTAGTAAGCACTCATGATGTCTGTAGAATTGAGGGGACTATAATTGAAACAAAGTCTAATGCAAAATACCTCGGATTAGTTATATCTTCCGACCTTACTTGGTCATCTCATATCCAAATGATTTCCAAGAAAGTGTTTCGTCTAACCTACTACATTAAGAAACTCAGACTAACTGGAGTCCCTCAACCTCTGCTTACACAATTTGTCAACTCTCGTATCCTACCTATTCTACTTTACTGTTCCCCGTTAGTCTTTCCTGGGTTACTGAAAAAGGATTATACCATCCTGAGAAGGATGTTGAAGGTAGTTAGTAGGACTAGCGGTGTAAAACTCAGTCAGCTCGTCACAACATTAGTGGATAAGCATCTGAATACATGTGAGAAATGGTCTAAAACCATACTCTCTGACCCCCAACACCCCCTCTATTCCCAACTCTCTCCCTGCATCTCATCAGGTAGAACCAGAAATCAGTATAAAATAATATATGCTCGCACAACCAAGTATAGGAACTCAACGATACCATATTTGGCCCGTGTTCTAAGTGACAGAGACAATGTTAGGCGTGAAACCTATGACTTGCTTTGTTGTTAATAACATAATTTTGGCCCTTGTTATTTCCCCCTTACACTCTCTTAATTGTACTCTATAGTGAACAACCTTCTTAAACATACTTAGCTGCTTAAAATTATTATCATTGGCTTACATTTTTATTCTTTATTCTATTCCTTCTTTGTACATCTACTGGGTCCGACTATATTATCACTATGATTATTAAAAATTGTCCCGTCATTAACCATCATGTAACATTAGTTTTGTGGTTGTTCTTTGTTCGGCACTATTTAACTGACAATCTTGTTTGTTATTGCCACTATCACCATCTTAAAAAATTTTGTATTATGCATGATTCCTCACACTACCACTACAAACAACCGCATTAGTACTGACAATAAAAAAAAAACAACCTGAAATGTTTATCTTATGATTGCTTAGTGTTGTTCAATCAAATTAACTGATCATCTTGGCTATAAACATTTTTTAAGAACATCTCATAATTTCCCGTATGATTATAGCTGTTACTGTTCACCACGCATACACATATCGTAGCTTCCACTAACCAATACTGAAATATTTTTTTTCATTATTTGTGTTGATCTTCTTTTTTACTCGGTATTTTTATTTGCATTTTTTTTTGGTTATTTCTGTTTCATTTTTTGGTTTTTTTTTATATATTTTATTTTTTTATAATACTCCTTTTAAATGTACGATGAAATTAGATGCAATATTGTAGATATGTGCTGAAAATTCCACACTGTACCACAAGTACTGTTTCTGGAATAAAGCGAAATTGTTATGTTATGTTATTGTTATGTTACTACACCTTTGTTTAACCAAACTGGTAGATATTTCGTAGTGTGAATACGCAGACGTGAAACAACACCAAACGACCAACGAAATGAAATAAACGTATTATTCAAAATGTCACTCGACAACAACTAACCAAAAGAATTTATCAGAAACAATATAAAAAAGGACATAAAACCAGAGAATGACAAGAAATAGGATAGAAAAACAACTAACACAAAATACCACACAGAAGTAGCACATCACAGGCCATTCGAGGAAACCTCAAAAATGTTGGAATTCGTACTGTTTATTAATAACATTGCTTTTTCATACAGATTTTATACAAAAACATTTTATAGCCTTTCCACCAGTTCCTGTCCATTCCACACGAGCTTATTGATTAGTCACACTTAGTACGTCATGCCAACTTCTGTCTCTTTTTTTAACTTACAGTTAGTCATCCCTTCTTGCACCCTTACACTACGTAATACAATTTTCAAGGATAAAGTTTATCGGTATCTGATTGGTCTAAAGATTTCTTTGTTAATTATAATTACAAGTATTGGTTTTGTAGGGATTTTGTTTGATTGCATGGAGGATTTAATCATGAGCTGACATC